ATTGTCTCTATCTGCGGGGGGGGGGGCTAGTGCATCTGAAGGCCTCACAACTATTTTAGAAAACAAATGCTCTGTATGTCACCGTCAAAGGACGACTGCTTAGTATTCAGTGCACAAAACGCTGGCTTAGTGCAAAGATTCCTGTTTGTTTCAGCATCCCAACTCCCAACATCCCAACTTATTTAAATTATTTTACAGTGATTGCTTTAAAACTCAAATTCCTGGTCTATTACAAAATAAGATACATACCAGTACCTTATGGTGAAATGGTAATGCTTTTTCTTTAACTTTAAATGGGATTTAATCAATAATATATATATGTTCTGCCTTGAGTGATGTAGACAGTCAATAAATCCTGCTCGAGACGTTTCACAAATGCCTTTTGATACTGTATAAACCAAGCAACAACCTGTTCCCCAGTTTAAGGATAAAAACATAATATTCAGAGCAGAGTTTGACCATAATTTACTCCGCTGTTTGGTCACAGCTGCCGGCACCTGCTGCTGTTATTAGTCCAGTAGAGCATGGCGGGATTACAGCGAGGGACTGTCAATGGCTGCTGAATAATTGACCGGCTTCCTTTGTCTCATTCATGCTGTTTTGATTGAACATGTGTTGAAGGCCAAATTGCAATGAAAGTTTGATGTGGAAACGGTAATTATGGGGAAACAGTTATTCGGAAGGATGCTTGCTGTACAATATCATCTCAGTGAAGAGACTGTACAGTAACAGAGAAACAGAAAATATCACAATCCTCAAGCTCTATATATGGTGTTTAATCTAAAATTGCAATTTCTCTCAGACAGTACGCTAATACAGAGCATTTCTGACTTCTAAGAATAGTTGGTAAGCCTTTTGTTATCCATTTTTTGTTGTATTTTTATATATGCTTGCTCATTTTCTTTTTTTTTGCTGATCTTTGTTGTTTGCTTTTCTCCTTAAGTAGAGGGTCTGATGTTTAATCCTCTGGTTTCCTGGCCTCTCACATCTCTTTTTAAAACAATTATTATTACAACTATTACAGTATAATTGGGGTTATCGGCAGTATTATGTGTGTGCAAAACAAGTGTTTAAAAGGCTTTAAAATATATAAACTGGGTCAGATACCCCTTGGGATGCAGTTAGTAATACTTGAGTATTTTATTTCACCTTAAATAGCAGCAATGATAACATACGGCTAAATGATAGTTTGACTGTTAATGGCTTTTTCTCATCAATAAGTAGTAAAGACAAACATGCCTTTAACATCTTCCCAAAGTACCTTGACACTTTTTAATAGAAAACCCAAAGATATGACATAGAAAAATGCAGGATATCACAGTAAGAACCAGAACATTTTTGATAATCTGATCAAGAAAGAATTAAATTGCACTACTAAATATTACCAATATGTAAAGAAAAAGACAAACTCTTCAGTATTGTAATCTATACGTAGGAAGCAGTGTGCAATCAGGAAAAGGAAGCAGATTATCACATGAACAGAGTCTGTATAATATGATGTGTCTTACGGTCACCCCATGTTTACTCCAGTTTCTCCTCCTGTCTGGTCTCTCTCGGCTGTGGGGTCAGCACGGGGGCTCCCACCACGTGTTCATGTTGATCTGAAGACAGAATAAAGACATTTCAGCCTCAAGCAAAGCTTCTCTCTGCCACACACTAACAGATAATGAGGGTGTGTTTTGGCATTGAAGTCTTGGAAAAGACATCTTGAGCATTTCAAAGTGCATATTCTTATTTGCTGTACAGTCAGTGTGGACAGTTGTATTTACATGTACTGCTAATCTCACTGGTTTTCTGTTGATCTCACACTGATAATCCCTGAATCTGTAGTAGAAAGGCTGGAATCCCTGCATGTTGGTGTACATTCATGTGAATATACTGTATCTGGTAAAGGTCAGAGTGAATTGGTGTGACACCGTGTCCTTTAAAGTGACAGGGAGTGAGGTAATCTAATGGACACCGCAGTGAGACTGTCACCTGGTGTTACAAAGCAAACCATATCTGAAGGATGAACTCTCATGAACTTGAGATTGCATGATTAAAACACTTAAATAAAAGGTCAGCCTTATTTTGAGGTTGGATTATTTTCTTTTTACAATTGCACTGCTTTGTCAATGCTTGAGGTCAGAGAAAGTTGGCTCCAAATATACACACATTAGGAGTTGGAGGATTTGTAATTGAGCAGAACAATTACGTCTTATTGCAAGAATATGCACAACAAAATGAAACTCACTCTTTCTAGGAATGCTGCTGCTGAGGCCTCCTTCCTGTCCAGGATGTTGTCTGATCCCTCTTGTCTGCTTCACGACATGCTTGACATGCAGGAGAACATCCTTTAAACTGCTCTTTAATCCTTCAAAAACATGAGATGTATATGTTGTGGATATACTAAAAGGAAGCCCTGCTCTGCCTCCTGTAGCAGTGTCAAAGTGAAAGTAGAGATCCTCAGGTGTTATGTTGAGCTGCAGGATCAGGAGGATTGAGAGGAGCGTAATCCATCACACATGACTACAGCAACTTTGATCTACAGATAAACGTGCCAACTCGCAAGTAATCTCATCTCATGCTCTACAATTCATAGTACTTTGTCTTGAGCAGTGACTCATATATACATACGTTGGACATATCGTCCTACACTATGTGCTTTTTGTCCAGTATGGCAATCATGTATTTCCAACCGATCCAAATGTAGGTTACTTACAATTATGTTTCAATAAGAAGGCTGAACAATTCTGACATGATTATGGTTTGTAACATCTGATCATAAAGCAATTGTTCATGGTATGTGACCTACTTTTTCCAAGCAACTGCTGTCTGGTCCGCTCTTGAAACTTGCATTGAGCTTCTGAAAACTGAACCTTTTTAAATCTGGAATAAATAGATTGCCCTTAAATGTCGTAAAAAATGGGCACAGCAGAACAGCAGAAGACCAATGAACTATATATCCTGCAGAAAATCAAATAAACGGGCTACAGAGACCTTTACTTCAAAGGGTACTATGCTGTATTTCCATTCAGAGGTTTATCTTGTCTTTTGGACGTGGACATTTCATTCTCCTATCCAATAATAGTGCTTATAGCTGCTGCTGTTGTTGTTGATTTGACATGTTTTGCAGTCACGCCACTCTCAAATGATGGTGCTAACATCTGTTCTAAAAGATTTCTTAAAGTCTAAAAAAAACTAAAACTGTCAAACAGCTAAATGACACATTATTGGAAAGTATGCTGTTGCTAAAGCTGCATCGTAAAACCATGACTGTCTGAGTCACTCACAGCTCTGCTGACACACGAGACTCTGCTGCTCTCTGGTGGTTCAGAGGCTGAGGTTCAAGGATTATGACTAAATGCTTTTGTACTGAATTTGCAGCCCAGAAGTCTTTCACTATGGATAACTGTGCATTTGGTTTGGGTCACCTTGTTGTTTTTGTTCTTCAATTCTTTCATTTCAACAAATGTTCGATTATATAGAATCTGCATGTTGTGAATAATCCGGATGATAAACTGTATACACTGAAGCAAAACAACAGTATTCTTGTCAAATGAATCACATCATTTATGAATTTAATTTTTCAAATTGATTATATTTTAAACTATACATACTAATTGTTTGTAGGTAATATAGCTTGAAATGATCATCACATTCCCCATTGTGATCTCAAGAGAGCAGAAAACAATCTAATTAAAAAGACAGAGTTCAGGATCTTAAGAATTGTATTTTGTGCACAAGTGTTTGTGTCCCTCAACTTGTCTTCTCTTGTCCTGGTATCACTTAATCACACAGTGAAAAGAAAAAGAGACCAATAATAATATAATATAAAACATTATTTCTCAAAGAATCACCATGACCTCGTTTTCAGTTTACACAGCAACATGTGATTTGTATTTATTCCTTGGATATCATCATCAGAAATCAGAACTGCAGTCTAGTCACAATGTGCAGCCCGGTGGTGCAGTGACCTTCATCCATGTTCGCCACATCAATGACTTTCATCACACAGAAAAAAAACAAAAACACTTGTCATTAATTTCCAGTGTGCAAAAAACTTACTTGGAGGTAAACGATGCCAAAACAGATATATTGAAATGTAGGGAATATATATATCTATATTACTGGAAAATCAGACATTCTGAACTAAAGCAAAAGAGTAACTTTAAAAACACAAGGTCACATCCAGTACTGTAAGCAGCTTTGGGGCGAGTGACTTGAAACGAGACAAACGTTTACAGACAGCATTGACCTATCTGGTTTACAGGCTCTTGAGTCTGAAATGGTCATGGACGTTGGGACTGTAACTATAGTAACCATCCTGTAACAGGGAAGTTGTGGCGAAGAGGAAGAGTGAGTATTCAAATTCCTCAGCCGCTGCTCTGAGCCAGTGGGACGAAATGTAAAGGGCAGACATTGTAAAGCTGGGGCTGTTAAAGCTGGCAGCAGGGGGCATTGTGGGAACACAAAGAATGAGACTGAGGACTGACGAGAGCAAGAGAGAGTTTGGGAGAAAAAGCATCTTTATTGCTGTTGAAAAATAACATTTTGTGTATAAAAAAAAGAGAAATCCAAATGCTCAATATGTAAACAAATGTTGCTTCATAATCAAACCTGAGACAAATTAAATGTTATTTATATTAAACACATTTGTACTTAGTTTGAATTCTCTGTTTGCATAGTTTATAACTTTTAAAATAGAGATTATTTTTCAACAATTTTGGAGCTGGTTTACAAATGGATTTACATTAAAATATCTAAATTCCAATCTTAACTCATGGACCATAAATTAGCTTCTTATTCAGAGCTCTGAAGCACGGTAAACTGCTGTTTCCAAGGTGATTTTAACGATTTAATTAAAGGCGTTTTATTTCAGGCTGAAAGACAGTGAGAAGCGCTTAGCTGAAGCATTCCCAGACGAATACGCTACTTATTTATACCTTTCATATCTTTATAGCTGAATAATTTGATACATTGATTTATGAATCAGATAAAAATGACAACAATCGTGGGACTTATTTTTCTTCAAATTCTTTACATGATTGTGAAGTAAATGTATGTTGTGTTCTTTTGTTTGAGTGTTGATAAAAAAGCCTTTTTGAAGATCCTACCCTGGGCTTTAGGATGCACTCTCTGATGGACGTTTTCACTGTTTTCTGGCTTTTTAATAGATAACTAAAAAGGATTTGTCAGGTTGATTGATAATGAAGGCAGTCATTAGTTGAAACCCTCCATTACTTTACAAAGGGTTTAGATGGAGTCTCCATGCAGGCCACACACACAGCGGCACGTCACACTGGCTCTTTTGTGTCATCGGATCATCGGCTTCATTTGCATCACAAGGAACAGGAAGACACCGAGAGCATGCCAACACACTGCAGGTCAGCATCTGATAGGAGATCGGAACGCTTCAAAACAGCTGTGCAATCACATACTTTAATGTTATACCCTTCATCTTTTTTGTTACTATGTAAACATATTGATAGTCAGAAAAATACTATGTCTTTACATTATGTACAAAGTGTATCACTACAGCTCGGTGTGATGAAATGTAGAAAAAGGAAAACTTTTACAATCAAAGAGTTTCTACCGGTGATGTTGGGCTACATTTAGCTTTAAGGCAATGCAGTGTTGTGGGTGTTGTGAGGCAATGGCACAATGCAGATTGAAAGGCAAGTGGTGTGAAATGGTCAAAAGGGAAACGTTTAGCCCAGGTCTGTGCCTATTATACTCTTAACACTCAAGTCAAAAAGCATAAAGCATGAAATCAAAATGTAATTTTTGAAAAGCTAAAAAGGTTGTTTAAAATAAAAAATATACATTTGTTATATGATAAAAAACAAACAAATGTACCCCTAAGTGGTACGCCATCCAGGTATCCGGCAAGGAAACATATGAATAAGGTTTTTTGTATGAAAATAAAAGCTAATTTAATGAAACATCAATATGGACAAATATAAATTCTATAAAACTTCATTTGGATCACATCGAACAAATTGAGAAGGAACACGCCATTTCCATCCACTTTGGATTAAGAACAATTTGCACAACTTTAGAAAGTGAACATTGCAAGAAACAAAAAGGGTAGCTTAAAAAATATATACGTTAAGGCTCAATTTGTTCAACATGAAACAAAATATATAACTTTTAAAGGTTAAGAGTGTCCATATTGAATAACATTGAATTATTTCCATACAAAATAAAATGTAATGTCAAATGTAATATTTGCTACATGCAAAGTTTATAGTCACAACTGGGGATATCGCCGCAAAACATTTTTTATCCTACAAAAAGGACTGCATATTTTCCTCCACATGATTTGAATTGTTTTAACAGATTATGATAAATACCTTTAAAACCGGTATGTTTTTTACAAGCTTCAATAATTCTGTGACTTGAGTGTAAAAGTGATATATGAGAGGCACACACAGGGGCTGGGTTAAATTATGACCAGTTGTTGTTGGAAGGCCTAGAGAACATGAGATGACTACATTCACAGTAGAAACATTAGCGTCAAATAATCCCATGACGATGATTACTTCAGTGTTGTTTCAGGCGTGTTCAATGCTTTCCTTCAAAGCATTAGCGTTGACGGTGTATTAGCCTACAGCATACAGGAAACATCTCCTACGTGCACGTCTGCTCCATGATAATATGGAGGAGTTCTAACACATTTACAATCTACGGACAGATACATACATGAGGTACAACAAGTACCACAGTTGATATACACTGGCTTATAATCTGTGACGTTATATATTGAACATTAATATACCGAGGATTTGTGAAAAGTGACATTGCAGTATATACCGATTAATCAGATCTACGTCTTCATCATGCAGAGCCGAGTAATTACATCTACTTCTTTCTGCTGGTGCAAGGCCACTGCGATCGTTCTGAGGTATCAAGCAAAGAAACCAAAAAGCAAACGGAGCGATACTCTACAGGAGGACGCAACCAAACTAAAGGACACCAAAACAGCAGCAAGTTAAGGTACAACACATCTTGTAACCCTGAATGAAACGGAAACTGAAATTCAGTCTCAAATTGTCAGAGCTAAATAGCAGCATCATATAGTCAGTAGAGTTCAACATCATCAAAGACACCAGCATACAGTCACTGAGACAGCTAAGCAGGCCAACAGGCTCCTGTGTAAACACACCAATTTGCCATTTGTCACTTTAGGTAATCCCCCTCAGAAAGGGAAGCAGTTCATTGCATCTTGCTCTTTGCAATTCATAAACCTGATACAGATTAAGCTACGGGAGGAACCTTAAGGTGAGATAGCTTCAAATGTTTTTCTGATTCCTGCCTTTTGCATGATATGAGAGGAGAAGTCTGCACTGTAGAAGCAAAAGATCCTTTACATTAAACTCGGGGAGAAAGTCTTTCTATCTGCAGTCAGTTTGTTTTACTTCCAGCTTGGTTTAGCACCTCTGCTCGGCGTCAGTGAGTCTCTATACTGGACGGACTTCTCTGAAATGATACTAGTCTTACGGGTGTCTTCACGTGTAGTAGGAGGAGGGGGGGTCTCACTGCGATAGGCGCTGCGACTGCTAGCTTTCACACTCTGCACCCGTCGCAGGCTGGTCCCGGGTGTCCGCTCCTCGCTGCTGTGCACTGTGGAAGACATCCTGTTCTGCTTCACTGGGGTCTGCCTTCCCCTGAGGGAGGGGCTGCGAGACGGGGTGGAGGGGACGGAGGGGGGCGGCAGCTCAATCTTGGTCCTAGACTGGGAGGCTACAGTGTTGCGGGCAAAGTTTGGGACATCGGAGGTGTTTTTAGCAAGCGTGTTACAACAGCTGTTCTCAGGGGACGCTCCACCTTTAGCCTGAGCCTGGGCCAGGGCTCTCATGGTGGAGCGGCACATCTTCTCCTCAGGAGGGGGCTTGGAGATGTTCCTCACGGGTTTGGCACTGGGCTTGTGGATGGAGGCCTTTCTCGGAGTCAGATCTCGTGCCCACCTCAAAGCGCCGCCTGTGAGGCTGCTTCCTCTCTGAGTTTTTGATTCCTCTGGAGGCAGGCTGGAGTGGCGAGGAGGTCTCGTGGTCTTCTCGCTCCGCCCCCTCGCCGGGGTGCTCTGGTCACGGAGAGGCCGGATTGACTTTCCGCTGTCGTGCGCCGCAGGTTTCTCTGTTCTCTTGCTGCTGGGCTTGCTGATGGGCACGACCTTCCTCATGCCCTGGCTCTCGCTGCTGTTCAGCGTCCGCACGCTGCTCTTGCTCCTGGTCGCTTGGATAGCTTTGCTCTTAATTTGAACTGGCTTTCTGCTGCCTCCCTGCGTCTCTTTCTCCACACTTTGCTTTCCCTCTGCGGTGTCACAGCTCTCTGTGTCCCACTCTTCTGTGGTAGCAGATACGTTCATGGGCGCTGTGTCCCCAGATCTTGACAGCTCATTGGTTGACTGGTCTTTGGGAGACATGGACTCCAAATTAGAGGACAAAGAGCTGTTATCTCGCTGGTTCTCCTGGTCAGATCTCCTGCAGTCAGGCGGCCTGTAATAAAGCCCCTCTTTCGTTAGAGACGAGCTATCAACCTCTGAGTAATCAGAGGTGACGGAGAAGTCTGTTTCTGTGCAATCTACTATGTAAAGCAAAGGTTTCTTATTGGATACAGAGCTATCCAGGGGGAGGGGCGTGTCACAGGTTGTTGATGACACTGTGCTGTTGTCCTCCTCTTCTTTCTCTCCCTCAAGGGAGACCCCAGCTTGTGTTGAAGGATCTATTTTTCCTCCCCAGGCTGCCTTGGGAAATGCTCCTCTTTCTAAAACTCTATCATGTAGGTGTAGGTTCAGATTTGAGGGCAAAGTCTGTCTTTCCTTCTCCAAATCAGTCACCACGACATCCCCCTGGTTGACAAAGTGTGTATGATTACTGTTGTTGTTAGGACTAGGGCAGGTCAAAAGCTTGAGGAACTCGAACTAAAGTGTGTTTCTCCAGACTGACATTCATGTGGCCGGTGATATTGGGTTGGGAAGGTGGGCAGCGTCTGAAAAGACACAAAAGGGACGAGGCAGAGCGCTGCCCTCTGATATGGATGAGTAGTTATTGTTGTTGTAAGGTTCGTTATTGTTTATCCCAGAGGAGGAGTACCTAGCCAGGGGCTGATGGGCTCAGTCTCGGCTCGCGGGGGCGTCACCTGTCTGTCGCAGCCTAGCTCTGCGGTTGTCGTCCTGGTCTAAGATCCAGGGGGTTGTCCTCCGCTGCACGGCACGGCCCGACCGAGGCAGGCTGTTGAACTTTGAGTAGTCGGATGGAGTCCCGGCGCCTCCGAACAGCTCCAGGTATCCTCTGAGATCTTGGTCTGCTATGGAGGTCATGGTGTGGCGGTGGCGGCGGGCGCTGGCGGAGCGTGCCAGCGGGCTGCTGGGACTCTGAGACCTCTGCTGGAAGAAGTCCAGCAGCCCCTCCTTGGTGAGCATCTCCACGTCGTTCTCACTGTTGCTGCGACCAAACCCCCCACTCTGATCTGCATCCGACCAAGCGAAGCGCTTCTCCTCCAACTCCCGCAGGCGACGCTGTCTGGCTGCTTCCTTCAACTCACGGTCCGCATTGTCCTGAGAAAAAAGAGGAAGGCGGATAAATGACTGTACTGTATCACTGCAGGAAGGAAAACACAGATGGAAATATTGACAATAATATTAAAGGTTTCCTATTATACTACGTGTAGGCATATAGTATAGGTCCCAGATATATAAAAACATGTCTGCTCAAAATACCAAACAGATCACCCATTCTGGCCAAACCTCATACACCTCTATTTCAGCCCTGTTAGAGAAGTGTCGATTCTGGGTCCGCAGCTTTAAAAATGTTTTATAATAAAAATAAAATAAAATAAAAAGAGGGAGAAAACGGAGGTAAAGAGAGAGGTTTTTTTTTTTTTGGACACTTTGTGAGTTCCCTGACACCGGGGACACATATTTATGTATAAAAGAAACAAAAAAAGTGCATTTTGCATGATAGGTGACCTTTAAATTGGATGAGAAAAAACTAACATTTCAAGCATCAAAGACCTAAAACGATTTACTTCACCAGAATTATCATATTTTTTCTCATAAACTGACCTTGACAGCTTTCTTGAACTTGAAGCAGAAGTCTTGAAAGATGCGGAAGCCCTCGTCCAGCTTGAAGGTGTCCTTGTCTTCACAGAAGAAGTCGATGAGAGCGTTCCCCTCTTTCCGCAGATCCAGCCTGCGCCTCTTCAGGTCCTGCAGCGTCTGCGCTGAACTCTGAGACATCAGGCACATACATTTTTTATTATTACTTTCATAAGGGTGTCCTTATCTAAAGCACTTGAGTCAGCAGGGCCAGAAGATGTACAGTGGCCTCGATCCAACTTTCTGTAAGTGTGTGTGTGTGTATATAATGTATTACATAACCACTGCCGGTGCTTCACCTGCAGAAAGGGCTCCAGCTGCTGCAGTAGCTCCGCGTCCCCTTGAACCTTCTCCTCTAGAGATTTAATCCGAACGTATAAGGAGGAAAACTCCACCTCAATGTTTTCCACTGAGATTCTACATGGAAACATGAGAGCAGAACAAAGCAGATCAGGAAAATGGGCTTGATACCATTTTGGTGATTACAAACATAAATCACAATGCCATCATAATAGTACTGAGTGACACCATATTTGGCATCCTGAATTCCCTGTCAGACCGTCATCTGTTAAAAGTGTAGATGGGAGCGATGCCTTCATATATCATAGGGAGGGCTCTTTGGTGCAGGAGAAGTACTCTCTCCACACAAAGATGACCTTGTGAAGCTCACTGAGCCTGACAGCCAGCAGCATCACACTGCACTTACTGTAAGCCAGGTGTTATGTAATGAGGATGGATACTGTATTCAAATCAGCAACATAACAACTGTTTGAACATCAGTTTTGTTCACTTTTTTTGATCACTTAAAAGAAAATAACACACAATGTATATATCATTTATGTGATGAGAATTGCTAATGTGCAATATTAGCTTCAAAATATGTTGAATGTTGTCATACGGTAGGAAAAACAAGCTCTTCAGTGAATGTTTGAGTGATGCATCTTTTGTATTACAGCACCTCAAGTCATTATTATTTAATGCCTTAATTATATAGTATTTAACATAATTGTTGATATTTGAATGTTTTATATCTATTGCTAATCATCCGTCAATGGACATAATATTCTGTACTGTTTTGTGAATATAGATTTCACATCTGAAAGCATATTTGAATGTACTTAAAATGAATGTATGATTAGTTCGTACTGTAGGTGCCATAATGCTACTTAGCCCAAGTTCATTATTTGTATTATTATTATTATTTGTTTACGTCACTTTTATTTGTTTGTTGAGCAATTCCGGTAATTGTCACATGGGTGTGGTTTGTCTATTTAAGTCACCTGTTTCATGTCGAGTGGGGATGACAGAGGGTGAGCTTGTGCTGTCCTTTTTTCTGTTGACCGTTTTCTCCATAGTTACTATGTTATCATTTTGTTTATTAAATATCCCAAAAACTATCTTGCTTCACTATGGACTTTCTCTTCGAAAACGCGTCACAGTTTATAGCCAAGTTTAGCCTCTCTGTGACTCAAACGTAACTGGGGATTGAGCCGCCACACGTACAGAACTTGGAGTGAATGTTTGAGTTTCTGATGCTATTATCGTATATAAAACTGTTACAGTAGCCCTAACTGCTTCAGCAAAGTTTGAATTTAATTACAGCATTATTCTAGCTAATCAGAGTTTTTGAACAGTTCTATAAAACCATCTGTTTTTTAATGCTGAAGGTCTGCAAACCAACTAGGTTTGGTAAAACTGAATAACCTTTGGAGGGAAAACAATCCCCAATTTCCTTCATAGTAATACAATAGGATTAATTGTAGCCTGCTTGATACCATCATTCCCAACTTCCTTGTGGAGACGTGTATTTACAGCATGTCATGTTTCCCTTTTTTTGTACGAGAGGGGGATTCTGATGTGACAAACATTTCCAACTTCCGCCTCACACTGGGAGAAAACGGTCTACCTGGCTGCACTCTGGACATCCTGGAGTTTCTCTGGGAATTTGAGCAGCTCCTCGTCCTTTTTCTTGGCTTCCTGTGTGGAGAGACACATCGCACGGGTTACATTTAACTTGTTGTAGAGGCATAATTTAAGGTTGAAGTATCCCCTCTCTTTCCTGTCACCATCTGCTGTCCACCTGCCCTTCTGAAGTCCCTTTACTCAAGGACCCCTCCTGTGAATGATTCTATCAAATTAAATCCCTCTTATTGTACTTAAATACTCACAGTACGCAATACTTTTTACACATATTTGATGTTTTGTGTGCTTCAACTACATTTAACTAGGATAGGCCACAGGCTTTAAATATTATTAATATTATTATTATTAATATTTATTGGATGAAATAAGTCTAGTTATCCTTGAGCTTTCAACATTAAATGTTATCTTGACATTGTGTCTGAATTGTCGACATGCTAAGTTTCTGACTCTCCTACTTTACAATATCTGATTATGTGAAATAATACAGCTCTTAAAGTTATTGTGAGCATAATATTGTAAAACTGAAGCCTTCACTTACCATGGCGACAAAGTGCAGCAGGTTCATCCCCGGTTTGTTGGCCTTGGTGTCGGCCAATGAGAGGAGAGATGACAGCTTGAAGCCAACAGCATTTCCTGCATAGCCGCCCTGAGAAACAAAAAGGATATGATAAAAGATCTTCTTCAAAAGCATAAAAAGACTCCTCAGAGAAAACAAGAAAAACAACAACAACACATGCCCAGCTAGTTAAAGTAAATGACTTGGATTTGTGCATGAATGAATGGGCTTGTGCACGACACTGTTATTTGTGTTTGCATTGATCTAAAGTTAAAATATTACCAACTTTACCATACGACACACAGATTGGAGAGTGATGTTAATGCATAAAGGGAATTTATACTCACAGCATTCATGATGTTTCCGGCCTGCAGCACCAGATGCAGAATGGCATGCAGCTCCTCACAGCTCATCAGCTCTATAAGATGGAATCAATAGAAACTCACTTAGGAGAATTCAGAGCAGATAACAGCGTCCATTAGAGCACTTCACTGTACCACCACCACACAGAACAACTATCAGCAGTAAGAGTGAACGCTTACTTCAAAAGCTTATTTTTATTTGTATTTTTGACCATCAGTTTTGTACTAACAGTACGGGCAAATGTTTAATACTGTTTAAAGTTTAAATGCTGACACAAAAGTTCCATTAATTTGTCCCATGCAGTGTTTAAATGTAGCTCTGCAATGCAGTAACAAGGTCACAGTGCTGTTGAAGAGAGTTTAAGAAAAATCCAATAATCCACACAGAGGCCGAACAGTGTGACTCAGCTAAATGACACAGGCTGAAGTGATGGCTGCGCAAAAAGAACTGCCAAGCAAGTATTTATTTTACAGGTTCTTGGTCAGTTTGTTAACACCCACGGTATATTTTTCAGATATGGGAGCAGGTATATGTGTGCTGTGTGTGAGTAAACGTGCCTGTTCTTTTCCTGTAATTTACAAACAGCACAGGGCATTTTAAGCTATGAAAGCGGCATTGATCTGGGCTGGCAATGCTTGGCGGACGGACTATTAGATAGATGCCTTTCAATTTGGTTCAGACATCCATTTCCCTCTCACCATTAATACTAACTACTTTTGTGACCCCCTAACTTTTTTCATTTTTTTTTTTTTTTTTTTTTTAAATCGGCAATACTTTGTTAAATACCTGCAAAATAATCTGCTAAACATCAGCACGTTAGCATTTTAACCGAACATGTTAGCATGCTAAATTAGCACCACTTACTGTTAGCATAACCTCACACAGCTCCTAGCATGGCTGTAGACTCTTAGGTCATGTTTAATCGACATTTTACAGGAGGGATTATTTTTGACTAACTTCTTTAGTAAATGTTATAATTCAATCATGTACCATCTTCATATATATATAAAAAATAACAACATTGCAAAACATTACAAAGATTACTTAGCCTTGTCTTTCCACTCTGTCCTTACATCACCGTTCCTCAGGTGACACATTCCTACTTCTTGTTCAGCTCAAATATCAGGGTCACCTGTCTGAGTGTGTGTATCTCTCTCTCTGTGTGTGTGTGTGTGTATCTCTCTCTCTCTCTCTGTGTGTGTGTGTGTGTGCCCGCGTGTTACTACCTTTAGTGGCGACGCGGATGACATCGATCTCACGGCTCATTACAGCACAGGAAGGGAAGAACTCCTCGCGGAGGACAATGGCCTCGATCCGAACCACAAACCTGTCAGAGACGAAGCAGAGAGCGGGTACATTTGTGAACTTAGTGTGCAATGAAAAGGAAGAAGAAGTTGACAGGCGTCCTTTATAGGTTAAGGTTCTGCAAGGAAAAAGGAAAAGCATCATTAAAACACTTGCGGGATAGGGAAGCATGACACATTTTATACCAGTAATTGGTTACTTCTAAATACCACCAGTAGTGAATAGTAAAACCAACCACTACTGTTGCCAAAAAAAAAGGAAACAATGAAAGGAAAAACGTTAATAAAATATGGAAACACACGATAAATCCTATACATAAATACAAATGCTTACTATAAATACTTCTAAAAATGTGATATTTGCAGGTAACACTTTTTAATAATTTTTGCAAACTCTTTAGTGTTTTTTTTATTTCGAAATAAAGGCATTCAAATACAACACTTTTATATTAGCATATGTGAATGAGCTACAAGTCTCCACAACAGCCACCCTATTCCCACCAAAAATGATACAGTGAAAGCCCTTTCTATTTCTATCTTCCTTTGACTGAGACAGCACTATATACACAGCATTGAAATCCACTTACTGAGGCACCTGGATCAGGAGGAACATAAAGGAATCAACCAGTGTCAGCTTGTCTGGGTCTCCTTTATACGCCTGGAGTTTCTTAATCTGTTGAGGAGGGAAAAGAGACAGAGGAAGCTCAGCAGGCGCCTTCTTTTCCTCTTCATTCAATGTCTTTTGTCATCAGTTTTGGTCTTTGATACAGTTTGCTAAAAGCCACAGATACAGAATAAACACAGACCTCCTCTACGTCAGGCAGGAGCTTCAGCAGGTCTTTGAGCAGCTCCGCTCCATAAGTCTTTCCTTCTCCTTTTAGTATGTCTTCAACAATTGAGCGGTTGGATCTGAAACACAAAACGTTTCTTTCAATTAAACTTAAAGTTAAGTAGCCCAGGAGCTTCCTTTTAACTATGGCCTTCCTGTGTTTACAAAGGAACTAAATCTGAGCCTTTTAGAATCAGTCACAAAATAAGATAATAAAGATAACATGTTATGCTCATGTTCAGGTTCACATTCTTATTTTGTGACATCTTTAACACTTATTTCTCAAAACTCATTTAAAATAAGATATTAAAAGACGACATATTTTGCTCATTTTCAGGTTCACATTCTTCTTTTGTGCCTCTACTGTGACATGTTTACATGCTTTAATTTTCAAAAACTGTTTTATTTGTGTCACATATTGATGTCTTTATGTTACGGTAGTAAACAAATAATTCCAATGGAGGCGTTTCAGGCAGGGTGAGAGTGTGTAGGAGAGAAACTACTTTGGTGTAACATTTGGGATTTTAGTCTTTGCAGACCATTTACATGCACGCAACATATACTGTATAACACTACAGGAAATGGAAAACCCCCCAAATGCATAAAAGGACCTTTTAATGTTTTCTGTTTTTCAAATATGTTTAGGGTGTTTGATTTCTGTTTAAACTTGTATTGTTGTTATTTTCCTTCATTGCAGGGACATTTTTTTGACGTTTCAGAAAAACAAAACATACCGACACTCTACTCTATTGTACACGTTTCCTTCTTTCTACACACAACGTTCACAGTTCAACACTTACTCTCAGTCATGTCTCAATACCTATAGTAACATCCAACTCTGACACACCCAAGACTGTAGTGCTGTAACCCAATTCCTGATTACCTCATTGCTATAAAAGAAGCTATGAGAAAAACATGGACAATATCCAGTAAGCCGATACCTTAAAATGTGATGGAACCAAATACAGCGGTTGTAATAAATATCACTGTTACGGGGCTTATAATATTCAACCTTTGTAGAGACTGTATCACAAACATGTTTATCTAACTCCTGAGGCCACAGCTTGATGGTTGTATTGGATTAAATTAATGTAAATTGAATTGAATTATGTCAGCATAATTCAATTCTGCTAAAACTAGTACAGAATCAAAACAACTATTTTTGGTATAAGTACATAATAGTGATATGCTCCATGTCATTTTTAACCCAAATGTATGGATCACTGCTCCAATACTCCTGATATTTGTGTTTTGGAAACTGACATAAAACATTTGTAAACCATAAAAAAGAAGGTAATTTTCAGGTTTTTAGATTCTAACATCATTATCATCTCTTTTCTTTTGTATATTAAGAAACTAAGATTTACCCTGAAATAAACTGTCTTGCTTAACATATTTTCATCTAGAAAGGGTGTTGTGTTCTTGTACCTCCTCCATAGCAATAACAGCTAAGGCTCAAGGGTATTGTAGTATTTATCCAACATAACATACCAAATAAGAGATTTCTCTAGCCAGAAAATGAAACCTACAGGATCATGTAAATAAACTAGACTATAATGTTTCTATGTGTGGGAACAAATACGATTTTGTTTAAAATAAAACTAAAATGGAAATGTACAGTGGTTAAAATAATTATCATAATGTCGTAGTCGTAGTAGTAGTAGTAGTAGTAGTAGTATTACATTGCATTTAGCTGACACTTTTATCCAAAGCGACTTACAATAAGTGCGTTCGACCAACAAAATACGAACTTGAAGAAAACAGAATCATATAAGTACATCAGGTTTCATAGAGCAAAAACATTTCAAGTACTACTCAACTGGCTTTAGATAAGCCAGCCCTTTATTAGTATATAAGTGCTTTGTTAATAGTTCTATCGCTCGAAGTGGAGTCGAAAGAGATGAGTTTTCAGTCTGCGCCGGAAGGTGTGTAAGCTATCTGCTGTCCTGATGTCAATGGGGAGCTCATTCCACCATCTTGGAGCCAGGACAGCAAACCCACGTGTTTTTGCTGATGGGAACTTGGGTCCCCTTCGCAGCGAGGGTGCAGCGAGCCGTTTGGTTGATGCAGAGTGGAGTGCACGTACTGGGGTGTACGGTTTAACCATGTCCTGGATGTAGGAAGGGCCAGATTCATTCGCAGCATGGTACGCAAGTACCATTGTCTTGAAGTGGATTCTAGCAGTTACCGGAAGCCAGTGAAGGGAGCGGAGGAGCGGCGTGGTGTGGGAGAATTTAGGAAGGTTGAAGACCAGACGAGCCGCTGCATTCTGGATGAGCTGCAGAGGTCGGATGGCACATGCAGGTAGACCAGCCAGGAGGGAGTTGCAGTAGTCTAGGCGTGAGATGACGAGAGTCTGGGCCAGAACCTGCGTCGCTTTCTGAGTCAGCTGGGGACGCATCCTCCTGATGTTGTAAAGCGTGTATCTGCAGCAGCGGGTTGTAGCAGCTATGTTTGCAGTGAAGGACAGGTTGTTATCTAGGGTCACACCCAGATTCCTTGCAGTCTGAGTCGGGGAAACAACAGAGGTGCCAATGTTGATTGTTAGGTCAAGAGTGGGACAATCTTTTCCCGGAAGGAAAAGCAGTTCAGTCTTGTCAAGGTTGAGCTTGAGGTGATGATCAGACATCCACTGAGAGATGTCAGCTAGACAAGCAGAGATGCGTGCGACGACCTGGGTCTCTGAGCGGGGAAAGGACAGAATTAATTGGGTGTCGTCAGCGTAGCAGTGGTATGAAAAACCATGCGGGCTAATGACTGATCCGAGCGAGTTCGTGTACAAAGAGAAGAGGAGGGGACCAAAAACAGAGCCCTGAGGGACCCCTGTAGTTAATTGACAAGGGTCGGACTCGGACCCTCTCCAAGTAACCCTGTAGGTGCGGTCTTTGAGGTATGAGGTGAGGAGGGAAAGTGCAGAGCCTGAAACTCCAAGTGCTTGGAGAGTGCGAAGGAGGATCTGATGATTCACCGTGCCGAATGCAGCAGACAGGTCCAAAAGGATGATGACAGAGGAGAGGGAGGCTGCTTTAGCAGTGTGCAGTTCCTCAGTGACAGCAAGGAGGGCAGTTTCTGTGGAGTGACCTGCCTTGAAACCAGACTGGTGCGGATCCAGAAGGTTGTTCTGATGGAGATAGCAGGAGAGTTGTCTAAAGACAGCGCGTTCAAGTGTTTTAGACAGGAACGGGAGGAGAGAGACAGGCCTGTAGTTTATAACATCTGACGGGTTGAGAGTGGGTTTCTTTAGGAGAGGGTTTACTCTTGCCTCCTTGAGACTGTTTGGAAAGTGAGTAGTAGTAGTAGTAGTAGTAGTAGTAGTAGTAGTAGTAGTAGTAGTAGTAGTAGTAGTAGTAGTAGTAGTAGTAGTAGTAGTAGTAGTAGTAGTAGTAGTAGTAGTAGTAGTATAGTAGTAGTAGTAGTAGTAGTAGTAGTAGTAGTATCTTTTTCTGAGTCCATGTACAGGAGAAGAGGGTGGGTGATAATATATAGGATAAATGCATATTAGAGTAAAAAAGCAGACAGAAAAATAAACAGTATCTGCGATGATCTCACTGCTCCCACAGTCCTGTCTGAGTATGGCTGACAGTCAAATGTCATTGAAATACAGTGGAGAGCCATGCAAATATACCGTCAGGCAAAAAAACACCCAACACACTTTCTGTACTCTGCTCTGGATGACGTAACACAATGCTGAATCCACTCGGGCACATCTTTAGATTGCTTAAACCAACTTATATATAGATTATGAAGAACTGTGGACTTTATAACTAAGAGACATTAAAGGGTTTTCCTTCATGACACAAACTGAGATTTAACATATATTCAAGACACCAGTAATGTAGGGACTCATATATCTTGAACAGCAACATGAACATCTTAAATCCACTATAACCAAATGTGGTTACACGAAAAAGAAAGAAAGTATCTGTCTTGTTCTTTTCTCAAATTACCGTAGGATCAATATGTGTTTTCCTAAGTGATCGTTAGCCAGCGAGAAAACACTGAAAGTACCGACATAAATTCACCACCCTGCCTCCTCCCTGATACTCTGTGCTATCTATTCTTCACTGTTGTGGCCTTGTAATCTGATTTTAAAGACTGTAACATCTGCCAAACTGTTTCTTCACGTTCTCCCAAATAACACAGTATACTGTATCTGCAGACAGGGGACACATTTGAGAGAGCAACGTTAAGCACAGATTGTTTGATGGAAAATGTGAGTCACTTCAAAGTCTGCATATCTGATATGAATAAATAGCTGTAGATAATCATCCCAATTCTAATCTATGCAACGCCACATCAGCAGTGGGACATCTACCAGACATAATCTTCATATACATTTACAATTTATCTGATGGACCTCTGCAGTTTTTAGTTCTTAAAAAGATTTTGAGGGACAAACGATGCAGATGCAGACTGTAAAGCACCCTGGTGCAAATGTGTGTTTGTGGGGCTGTATGGGTCAAATTGACATGACTTAAAAATGACCAGTGTAGTATTGAGGAGGATGCAATAGCAGATATGTAATATCATATTCACAACTATGTTTTCATTAGCGTATAGTCAGCTAAAAAACAAATAGTGTTGTTGTGTTTTCCATTACCTTTGTTTCCTTAGAATCAGCCCTTGGTATCTACGGTACATAGGGAGCCAGCAATCTGAGATTCCACAGAAAGTTGAAACCAAGCTCTGGCTCTAGAGGCATCCTGTTGTGTTTCTACATTACTTTTAGGCCTTGGTTCTCTGACACACTTATGAAGGGAGGGATGAGCAAGGGGATATTTCATTGGTTGCAATCTGTAACCTCACTTTCAAACAACATTTCAGACCTTCTCCAGGTAAAATGATATCATGAATAAAGTGAGGACAAGTGATTGACAAAGCCTGCAGGATCATGTTCTGACTCTTAACAGTCAGAGTTTATGGTCCGATGCACCTGTTCAAAAGACTTCTGGAGTACATTACTCTCATCGATGCGCTACCTCTCTCCAAAGGGAACAAAGTAATTTCATCCCATCATATTGGCACAACCCAGCAACACCTGAACTGTTCGCTATGGTCATCAACTAACCTGCCGGAAATGACAATTAAAGCAATCTTTACCACAATCATTAAAAAAAAACATATGAGGGAATAACGAGCCCTATAAGACTCCAGAGACTTGTAGAGTATATAACAAGAAGCATCAAAGCTGTTCTGAAGGCTGACGAAGAAATGTCATGTTTTGTCACATACATGAACAAACTCCCCTGAGCTTTACATAAGCAGCTCTTCCCTCAGGTAGAGAAGCAGCAGAGAGACTTACCTCTTGAACTGCTTCAGGAAAATGCCCACATTCATCCCTCTTTTGGAGTCAAGGATGCTAATCTGAAAACAAATAAAAGACACTGTGAGTGATGTGCTGTAGTTTGGGTGAAACACAATAAAACACACACATCCCTCCCTTTTCTTACTACTCCTGGTTGTTGTTGCTTGTGTTGTTACCTAGACTACAGCCCCCCCGTCCCCCCACCAACACATTATCACCCTATGGGACGGTGAAATTCCACCGGGCCACACGTGGTTCACACCTCCTTCATTAACAATGGCTTGCACAGGTGACTGTACAGTGTGAACATTCATGACCTAAGTAGAGCTTTTAAATAAGTCACTTCTGTAGTCTGAATAAAAGATGATGAGTACAGGTGGGATGCAGAAAGATAGGTAAAGAAATTACATTACCAAAGATGATCAGCAACAATACTGACATACAACCACTTATTTTTGTAATTTATTAAAAAAAAAAAGCCAAATATGTTCTGGTTCAATCATATTAATCTCACTATAAATTGCATATCTTTGAGTTTTGGAAAAAACAAGTCATTTAAGTTTAAGTTTACCACCTTGGGCTCTTAAAGCTTGTGATAAGAATCTTGACATTTAATAGACTAAACTTCCAAAACAGTCTTCAGTAACAAATCTTGGACCCGCTGCAGTCACTGCAATACAACCTAAATATGGGCTCTTTTCATAATAATGTTATTTAACAGTCTGATTGTTCTAAAGGTAAATCCGGGGAATTATTTGTTTAGATGTTGGCCATTTTTAAGAGGATTGATGTATAATCACTTTGTAAGCATTCTCAATCTGACCCTCACATGAAGTCACAGTTTTTTCATGTATCTCCACCACTCACCTCGTCCTTGCTGCTCTCCTTGAAGGAACGGGACCTGGAGACCCCGGTTGAGGCTCCAGCAGCCAGCGTGGCCCCCCGTACGCCCGCCATCGCCTCTTCCTGCTGCCCGAAGAGCTCCTCCACCGAGCGGACATCGATCTGGTACTGCTGCTGCCGCACCGACATGGTCCAGATGTTGGGCTTCCCGCGGACCTTCTCCTCCGGTATCGGCTTCCAGAAGAAGCTGCGGACGCGCCGCTTCTTCCTGGCGTTGTGGGTGGTGGTCGTTGGTGGTGGAGGAGGGGGCGGAGGTGCCCCTGGAGGTGGGGGCGGCCGGGGAGGAGGAGGGGGAGATTCATGTTTAGAGGTGTCAGGGTCGTCGCTGAGGGAAGGTAGGGTGGTGTTAGTGTGTCCGGACATAGAGGAGGGGTCAGAGGTGGTGATGGAGGAGGCGGGGCAGCTGCTTCCCTCGCTGCAGCAGCTCTCTGGCTCATTGGTTGTGGATGGACAACTCATAACAAGCATCGCAGGGAGAAAAAGTCAGCACATGAGCTCATGCTGACAGTACAAAAACTAAATATTTATCTGGTTAGTAGCGTCTCTTCTTTAAAATTATTTTATTTTAGGTGCGTCAATGACGAACATCAAACTGCTGCAGGGTCTGTCCCCTCACTGCAGGAAGTCTGAAGGTGTCCCTTCATCTGGTCTCAATGAAGGGAGCTCGTCCTTTGATTCAGTCCATCTCCATCACTCAGCTGGTCATCCATCGTGCTGAGCAGAGCCTTTGAAGGTTACCTCCCAGGGGGAAAGGGCTGGCGATGGCCATGGAGCTATGAGAGCAACAAAAAGAACATAGGACAGGATTACACAAAGGTAGTCATGCGTGTTGTCAAGGACAATCTGAAATAAGGGGGAAATTAAGGGGTGCGACAGATCAAAAGGGAAGGGGTACCCAGCGAAAGGGGCTCGCAATGAGGGAAATGGCAAATCCTATTTTATTCCATTTTTTAAGGGCTTTGAAGTGATGCTCTGGGGTGTGTAATGATCAGAGACATTACACCCACAGCTTAGCTTCTGTTACACTGTTTAGTATCATTTTTAAGAAGTTCTCATGTAGCGGGAAAGAAACTAAACAAGTTGTCAGAACAATAGTCTCATTTAATAATGTTATCGATTAACAATACAGAGGTTACTCTGGTCCTGCATCAGGTGGACATTCATGGCTTTGAGGTAAGAAATGCATTTTTCAAATGAATAAATAAGTTGAAGTAAAACTGCCTGATCTGATCTTTTGTGTCTGTTAATTTTATTTCAATAAATTCCAGGAACTTCAATCGAGTGAAAAGCAACAAAGACTAAAAGTCTAGCAGATAGATTTCCTGATGTAAATCTGAGGAATCAGAATGACTGAAAAACAACTGTCAGTCTCTTATGTAATTCAGATCAGCATAATCTGTTGCCATAGTGAAGAGCCCGTCACCTTTAACACAATGCACCAAAAGGAGATTGAGTAATGTTTGTCAGATTGCTTTGCAAGGTTACCCTCGAAAAGAACACAAAACCACCCACAGCCACTGAAGTCATGATGTAGACCAGCAGCAAACTCTGCTGCAAAGCTTCATTTGTAAATGTCCTTTTTCCTAGGACCATAAATTCACTTGAACACAGTACTTTAACAAGAAGACTAACTCATGGTCTAGAAAGAAGCATCATGCAGTGATAATCTGCAACCAGTTTCATTGTCATACCAGATTTAGGGGGTGGCTGTGGCTAAGTGGGTAGAGTGCTGGACTTCGAATCAGGGGGTAGCAAGTTCGAGTCCCACTGCATGTCGTTGTGTCCCTGGGCAAGACACTTCACCCCAAATTGCTCCTGTGGGGACTGTCCACAGTACTGAATGTCACAGTACTGAAAGTAAGTCACTTTGGATAAAAGCATCTAACAAGTACCATGTAATGTAATTTATGGTTTATGTTAAGCATACGTGACAAACTTTCCTCAGTTCTAGATTCTCGTTTGCAAGATGTTGCTGCTTTTTAGTCTTATTTGAAATTCAACTTAATATTGGTGGATTTACGAGTCTGGTTGGACAAATTAAGTGATTTGATGGAATCAGATATTTCAGCTTTTGTGTACAATTAATCTCGAAATTAATGAGCAATTATTTTATTTCTTGATTAAACAATCAATAAAATATTTCTCTACAATATTTGAGTCTTAAAATAATTTGAGTCTTAAAATAATTACCAACATATCAGTGCCAACTTTTTTGTTGTTGAAAGAAACAATAACATAAACAAATAGTAAAAAGTATCAAAAACAACAGGGTATAATATATTTAGAACATAAGTGGTTATTAATGGTGCGGTAAATGAGTATGGGAAAACATAACCAGTCTTCAACCTCTCCGTCTCTTTGTCAAATCAGCGGTGGCACTGCAGCTCTCAGTTGGAGGGAAACTGGTTGTGTTTCAGGACAACACATCACTCACTGCCACCAGGCTGCAGTGATCTGATACTCTACAAGGCGCAAACAAAGAAATGAGCTTCTGACAAAAACAGGACATTAATTAGAGACGTGGGGGGATGCATCATAACAGGGCATTAAGGCAATTTCTATCTTTGCGATTCAATCAGATAACAGTAATAATAATAATACATGGTATCAAACCCTGCATACATGGCTAGTTTCTGCACGTTTCTAAAAAAACAACTTAGTAACATCTTAGTGGTAACCTCCCGTTAGCAGCTTTTTCAACCTGATACCCATTATGATTAATTAATGAGCAGACGTCACAAATGGCCTCATGTTGCTCCTCAGAGCTGGACCACACCGTCACTCATGTCTAATTCATAATTCTGTGAGAACATCTGACCTCACACCGAGTCATCTCATCTCATTTCTGTGCTAAAAATGTGGCTACATGGAGTAAACACAAACAAGCCTTTTCTGTTGTCAATCTGTTGATGTCGGCTGCTTTAAAAAGGAATCGTTTTATAACACTCATGTCTGTAGCCTACGCTCAAAATTATGCTACAGTTAATAATATTAATATCCAATAATATTTTATCTAGCAATACATTATTAAATAAATTGAAGCCATGACTTGAGATAGTCTCTAAGAAGATGGTAAAATAACCGTTGTGAGTCAAGAAATATTGAGTTTCAAACTCGGGTGCAGGGTGGCGTTATTTTACCTTCAGAAAGAGCAAAGCTAGCACCTTCTTACAGGCTTTATTGTTTGCTAAGCTAACCATAACCATCCAGGCATTTAAACATGTCACAGTGGAAGCAAAATATACATTGAAAAGGCTAGACTGCTATCATTTCACATCAAAACTGGACTAACGGCCCGTCCACACAGCGGCGTGCATTGAATGGGGTGGCGTCACTTTTAGCCGAACTGCATTTTGGGAAGCGACGTGGAGCGTTGCTGGCGTAGCTGGCGTCAAAAGTTGAGCAATGTTCAACTTTTGACGCCTCGACGGAGGCGTCAGCCAATGAAATCCCGTTTATGCAAATCTGCCAGTTTACTTCGTTTTAACATTGCTATTGCTTTGTATGTCGGGGGCAGGAGATTCATGTGATTCAATGTTAAAACGAAGTAAACTGGATATAAAATCCCCAAACAGGCGAAAACCTACCAGTTTCACCCACTGTCTCTGCCACCTCCCTCCATGCCTCGCTCCTCCGGTTTGTATCCCGGTAGATCAACAGAGACTGATCATACAGCACCGGGTGATTCACTACCGCTACAATGAATTTTCCCTCCATTTTTTTGAATATGAGGAAATGACCTGCGTAGTCGCTTGTACTGGCAGATTTGCATAAACGGGATTTCATTGGCTGACGCCTCCGTCGAGGCGTCAAAAGTTGAACATTGCTCAACTTTTGACGCCAGCTACGCCAGCAACGCTCCACGTCGCTTCCCAAAATGCAGTTCGGCTAAAAGTGACGTCACCCCATTCAAAGTGAATGGGCAGAAGCGTTGGAAGCTTCAACGCACGCCGCTGTGTGGATGGGCCGTAACGGCTCTTAAAACCGCTACACACCGCTATGGGATGTTATTGTGAAAGGCGTTGAAGGCCTTGAACGTTGAAAGTAGTAATTTGCGGTTGTGGTTTCGACCGGGTTTTGTTTTGTAATCCCTTTTTTTTTTAAATATGCATGTTCAGCACTACCTTATGGGTTTATGCCTCTTTTTTTTACAAAATATAAATATTTGTTGATGGAAGAATGCAGATGTTTAAGCTAAGCTAGTAATACTTCTCTATCAGCAAGAAAGTGAATTCTCCTAAAAATGTCAAACCAATTATTTAACTGAACCCACTTTGAGAAAGCCTGCAATCTTTCTGTCTGCACTGTAACGGTTCAGTAAAACAGAAAACAGCACTGAGTCAATGTTCTCAGGCACATTACTCCTGCGTGTCTAAAGAATTCAACACTGACAGTAATTGATTTGTGACATTTAACATTCCTTTTAACTATATTTCAAACAGCTAACGAGGCTGTGAACTGACATCCGTTGCCTAAAACGATCCACTGAGGAAACACACCTGTCAGTAACAATACAGAACAGGCCTGAGGAGGAGAAAAGCAGTCGGTGTCCAGATTCCTCACATCCACCTGCTGCCGTGAGTGAACACAGACAGACTGTGGGCTTCATCTATAGGTCCACCTGTTGTTAACCCCGAGGCATTCCCCATCAGTCTCCATTAGTGACAGGTAAACCCACCCACTGACAATACTCTTAGACAGGGAACACAGCAGGTCAAAGTTATCATAGATGTATAAATGGGCTCCTACAGCAGTAGTCTGCCAATGAATAGCAAGACAAATGTGAGAGGAGACCCCACCCAGGTCAACCTTTTATTCAGACTTATTGTGTCCAGGTCCCATTAACTTGCCATGGTCTTGTGTGTGTGTGTCAGAACTGCAACTAACCATTATTTTCATTGTTGATTTATATACTGATTTTGCCTTGTGATCGATTCATCATTACGTTTTTGAATGGCTTGTTCCGTCTAGATAAACTACATTTCCCAGCCAAGGATATATACGGTTCCTGCTACAATGAATTAAAACATTCAAAAGTAACAATGAAATTGGTAAAGCTTTTGCTTATCCAAAATCCTCATTATAATTTCCGATTCTTTTTTGTTAATCATCTACAATTCTGTAAACAGAGGTGTCTAAAAGCACTAAATGAGAGAATATATTTAGGAGGAATGGAGTTAATCCATCCTGTTGGGGTCTAAAGAGAATGTGTGCCAAAAGCATTTTTTTTGGTCTAATACTTTCAACTGTCTTTATAAAAGAAAAACTATGTAGACGGACCTCCGACTGCCTGCCGGATTGTTTTTCTTTCCTTGTTCTATAAAAAACCCTTTACTGCAAAACTGAAAAAGGATTTTAACCGGAGGTAATTGTCAACAAGGATCCAGGGGGCCACTAAGTCCAAAACAAATAAAATCCGCTCTCACTCACAAATGTGTAATGCTGAAGGTCAAGGCGCCACCGGTGCTATAATAATCCCCTGTTGCTAACTTCTAGTTCAATTTCCTGAGGGTCAGTGAACACCCTGCAGGGCCGGGGTCTTTCACTGACACCGTGGGGGCAAAGAGGTGGGCTCAAAAGGAATTTGGCCGTTCCTGCTTCATCATCATTACCATGGGAACGCTCGTTAGCAGAGCGATGTTGTGCGTACGGCTCAGTGGGATGTCGCTGTCGGACCTGTTTGTTTTTTATCCTTCAACCACGTTGATCTCTTCTTGTCCAAACGGTGTTGAGGGGGGAGTCAGTTATGGGACTTTGGTGAGTTATATTAGTA